AAAAATAAATGTGCAAATTTGAAAATTTTGTTAATGAATTTTTCAGGATAATCAAAATCCGAGAAGCAGCGTTGAGAGCACAGCAAGCACCGATCGATCGACAGAGGAGGTAAAATTAATGCTAAATGCGTTTTTTTTTATAATTTTGATGATTCTGACAGTGAACGAAGCCCTGGTACATGTGAGGTCTGCCAAAGTTTCCACTTTTTTAGAAACCGAAAAAAGCTGCGTCACTCTTGGGGGCGTGAAAGCTACGTAGGCAAAGTTGAGAGCTCTTAGCTTTACCTAAGCATCAGCATCGTAAATGGTGAAGCCCACTACTGCGGACAGGTTCAGCGAAGCCAAAAAACTGATATTGCTTTTTTACGTGACAAAACTTGAGTGACAGAGCTATTACGAGACCAATTGAAAAATACTGACCAAACAAAGGATTTTAGGTGCTAAAAGATATAAAAACACGATTACGCCGTAGTCTCAATGAATCTGGAATTCTAACTTTGGACGACCTCATTGGCTCTGAACATGCTCCGTTGCTGAGCGATTTGCCTGTACCGGAATCATTATTTCAACCAGGGGAACTCAGTAGTAATAATGGTTAGATATTTTGATACTTCGATTATTTGCTTTGGAAAGAAGGGAAAAAAATGATGATAAGCAAGATTATTTGGGTAAGTTTCGGGTAAAATATTTGGGAAGAGCTTATTTGCAGTTTTGGGTAAAAGTTTTGGGAAGGGTTTACTTGCGATTTTGCATAAGCGTTTTGGGAGGGGCTTATTAACAGTTTTGGGTAAAATTTTTGGAAGGGGCTTATTTGCAGTTTTGGGTAAAATATTTGGGGAGAGATGATTTGCAATTTCGGGTAGAAATTTCGAGAAGGGGTTGTTTCTAGTTTTGGGTAGAATTTATTTGGGTAAAAGTAGCTGTTACATTGTCGTAACGCGTATCTGTGCGCGACTTCTTAGGATTTTCATTTTATTTTTTATCATTTTATTTTAGATTTTTTTATA